TGCCTCTTTTAACAAAAGCGTCGTCGGCCCCTCCGTCTCGCCGTGTAGTCGCCCAGTCCGGAGGAGGAGGGGTACTGAGCAAGTTGAGGTGCCGCCGGTTTGAAGGGTAATTGAAATTAATGGCTCCGCGAGGCGTTCGTCGAACTCCGTCGCAGCGAGCGATTAGGGAGGCGCGAGTGCCGGCGACACAGCGTCAGGACGAAAAGGAAGAGAAAAAAATGCCTCTAATGATGTTTTTGGTAAGAAAGTAATCATCTTAAGTGGAGGAGCGTATAATGTTATGAGTAAACGGAAAAATAAATCCATCGCATTTTTCTAAGTTTTCGGTGAGAGAAATGCGGAGAGGGCTGCGCCGTGCCCTATCCATGACCTAGGTTCCGCCCTGCCACGCGGGAGTGGCGCAAGAAAGGCGTCGCTGGAAAAAACAAAAAACAAAGTTGCCAAGGTCTATCGCGTAACAGGCTTCCCGATATCTCACGAATCACTGTTACGCTGCGACGCACCGGGCATACTTAAATCTACCTAGGCCTGCGGCGCTGACCCTCGAGTCGGGCATAACGCACAGTCGTAAAAAGACCTTCGGCCCTTCACAAATTTTGCTCCTCGGGGTTTTATTTTAGAGAGTTACCCCACCGAAGAACCATCAAATATCTGAGAAAAAACATTAAGATGAGGGCTCAAAATCACTACAGTTTTCGCTTTTTATGATACAAAGTTGCAAAAACAATTTTAGCCACCTAGCTCAAACTGTTCTTGAGTTTTCGTGATGACTGACAAACAGACACACACACTCACAGGCAGAGAGACGTGAAACTTTTTGATGATGACTGGAGTAATAGGCTTCGCTAATCGCTCAGCCAACTTAGGATTTAGCACCTTTGTTTCACCAGTGATGCCTCACAGCCAAAACGCACCGCGAGGTAGGAACGTTCAAGAGGAGGAGGAGTATGAGGCGAAGGGATGACGCGGAGGGAAAAAAGTAGGTTGCGCATCGCACCGCGGGCTGCAAGACGGATGGTGACGGCCTTCCGGGGACGCACAATGATGCAACGCAGTGCCGCCCTGGAGGCTCCAGCCGCGCCTTCAGTTAGTTGTTCGCCTTGAGGAATGTCTTCCTGATTACAGAGGCCCCCGACGCGGGGTCCCGGCGCAGGGTCCCGGCCCCGGTCCCAACCACTCCAAACTTTGGAGAAGAACCTCTTCACCCTTCCTACCTTTTTTTTCCTCCGCGGCCTCCCCCCCCCTCCCCC